CTTCGTATGTTCGTGACAATGCTTCTGGGACTTGATATAACTTCTTTTTTCTGTGAATGAATTTCACATCATATGCCTGCAACTCAGTATTCCGTCGGGCTAGCCTACCTACTAAATCCTTGAGTCTGTTTAACCATAACAGGCTGCTGTGAGCTATTCTTTTGTCTGATTAATCTTACTACAGAGAGAATATTCTCAAAGATCAAAAAATTTTACGAGACAACGACTATACAGAACTTTTGATGTGAAACATCTATTGGTGCGCTTGCGGGTTCGACTGACGTGATGAAGGGACCCGTGCGATGCCACGCTTGCTGCCACCCCTCTTTCGTTTTTCAAGTGGACTACCCCTATTTATAGCTATATATGAGAGTATATAATAATTAAATATCATATATGTATTGTGTATATAGCATATATATACATAAGTATGCATACATATTATACTAGCGGCCCCCCATCTCGGGTTCGCCCGAGACTTACTAAATCAAACACCGTAGTGTGTTGACATGTAATGTGAAACCTTTTCAGTTAGATATTTTACATCTATTCCTAACACTTCTGTAATGTATATGTAAGTGAGTCACACGCGTACAGTTCCGAGCGCCGATTATCTTAGTTGAGCACCGAATGTTCGGCAGTCTCTGCCCTGCTCTGTACACGAATACACGATATGTACTTTCTACTGTAATCGAATACATGAACATCTATGTATATATATATATATATATACATTCTCTCTCTCACCCTGTCACCCTTGTACTGGATAATGGAAAAGCTCATCGAAGATGCCTCGGCGCTTCTTCCTCTTCTTCTATCCTGTGCCGAGTTGCTGGGGTCAAGGCTGCACCTGCACGCTGCACCACCACCCTCCAGCTCCAAGAGACATCGGAGCCAAGTCTTGGTGTTTCACTTGTTTTTTTTTTTTTTTGTCCCAAAGCACACGCACTTTAAACAAAAACAAGAAACAAAAAAAAGAAAAAAAAAAAAAAAAAGAAGAAAATCCTTGCGTGTATGCGCTCCACTCCTCTGCGTGTACGGAGAGCTTGCACGCGCGCGAAACCTCTTCTTGTTTATTTACATCTGTCGCGTCTCTGTCAGAGAGAGAGAGAGGGAGAGGGAGAGAGGGGCGTGTGGAGAACAGGTGTGTGCCAATATATTAACGTGTATACAAAAGTACAGCTCCCCCGTGTAGGAAGGGGTTGCTGGCGTCCGTCCGCTGCTTCGGCGGGAGAGCCAGTACTGAGAGAGTGCGCCTAGGAAGGAGCAAGAAAAGCTCGGCCGTTTTGACACGGGTCAGTGCGACTGCGCGCAAACACCTTTCTAATCTCTCCCCACGTATAAATCAAGCTGGAGCTCCTCTCCGTGTCTCCGTACACCCTTTCTCGGACGCCCTTGTGCTTTTCACGTTCTTTGAGATAATATTATATACCAGAGAGAGAGAGAGAGAGGAGCTTTCAAAAAGTATATTTTGTGTAGGTATATCACAGTAGGTGGAGAATTGCAGTCATTCTCAGTCCCCTAATTGTAAATGGCCTCCGTGCTGGCGCAACTCCCTTGTTTTCCCTCTCGCAATGGCACAGATCCCTCTCTCTGATAACTCTTCCCCCTCGGTGGCCCACACACACACACACGCCTACGCCCAGTAAAATTTCTTCCTCAAGCTCTGCACTTTCTCTAGGGGAGCTGTGTATAGACGTTGCTCATATCGGAATGTGGGTGGTTATACATGTATACAGTGTCGCAGAAACGAGACCAACGGATAAAAAAAGCTTATCCTAACCGGGAGTCCGGGCAATTCGTACATATATATGTATACGTTCTCTACATATATGTTACATGTGTTATATATAAGTATATGTGACAAGTCGTAATTGAAAAAATAAAAGAGCTATAAAGTCTACGTATGGGGTATATTGTTATATTGCTTCTGTCAGTTCATTCACACAACGTGCAGTTTATGGGAGCTTGCGCGCTTTTGCATATACACTTGACGTCTCACACTTTCTTCCCGAGTATGATGAGGTTTCAAGGGTTGGCTGCAGAGAATCCATTGGGATTTTTTTTTTTTTTTTTTTGCAGTTCTGTATCCTTCTATTTTCTAATGTTTGGCTTTAGCATAAGACCGTTTTTTGATATTTCAAGTCCACCTCTTTACGTGAAAGAGGACAGAAAAACCAAATTTTTATTAGGTAAGCCATGCCAGAAGCTTACATTAACTAACTGCATTTGAATATTCAATCATGATTCTTTCGTTTCAGATAAGCCTTTGCATAATTGTTCGTTGAATGCAACTGCCATTAGAGCCGAGGTAGCCAGTCTACAGTTAGACTTTAATAAAAGGTTGAAGAAGGCTCTTTTCGCATCTTCTGGAAGTGCGTACTTGTGTGGCGTTGCACCTGTGATATTTATTCCTCAGCATTTACATTACGACTTTGGCTGGGTGGCACAGCACGTTATTTTCATTTGGCTGGGTAGGTTAGGTACCCATCTATGTCAATCCTACCCCGTCAGGTTGGTTTAAATTTTAATAAACTGCTGTCGTCCCTTGAAAATTATTATTTAAAGTTGACATTTTGTCATGAAAAATTCAGATATTGCGACGTTCTTCATCGAGCAGCGCTTCATTTGGGCAAATGGTCCAAATTTGACAGTAAAAATGTCCACATACCCATACAGTCGTGGAACGACGGGATTCTTTGGCCTCACGGTTCCGTAGTAAGGCATAACAAGGAGCTTTATCGCTCCGAAGGTCTTTGCACTGCTGCGGAACCGGGAAATCCAACTCACCACCGATTTCACGTACGTACTACTAATCAAAACTTAATTTTATGTCTCAAGCCAAACATTAATATTATTGTTGTTTTTTACAGGCGATGTTCGGCAACCCCTCCTTATTTCAGTTTTCTTTGTTTGTCTTGGAGCTGACGATCGTCGTTGCTCAGTTTATGATACTCTTCCGTGCAAGAGAGTGGTATCGAACATTGTCCATGTGTCTTTTACTCATGACAAATTATAGCACGCTCTACAGACTATTCAGAGATTATCTAGTGAGTTACAAACTTTACCATACCGAACAGNTATTATTTTTTTAATTTATCCAAAGAGAGTATACATAGGTTTTGAGGAAGTAGTTAAGTAACGTGTGACATTTTTGTCTCTCTCTCTCTTTCTTTTCTATTTTCTTTTTTTTTAATATGTATATATATATGTATAAAAAAATTTCATTCAGCGTATACTTCACGATAATCTTGTTTCACACGAAGCTAATAAAGATCGTAACATTTTTATTAATACGTCTGTTTTTCGCCCATTGCTTAGATTTTGGGACTTTGATCAACTTGTTTCATGTAATACATTATTAGATTTATATTTTTCTTTAGTTATAGATATTTGGAATCGATTCTTGTTTGCAATGCATCTATCGAAATATATATTTAATTAGGTACGACTGTATCTTTTTTTTTTCTTTTAAGCTAATAGCTGCCTAGCACTTGGTACTACAGCAGGGGAACTTTTATTTTCGGACTTTAACAACAATACCTCGAATCGAATATCTATATTCTGTGATTGTGCATTTCATATTTTTCTATCTCCTCGTCCCTAATATATCAAGTAGAAAAAACAACAGACACGCACTTGTATGTTAAAAAAAATATTTATTAGATCAACACAAATAAAACAACATAAACAGAGCAGCCGGAAATTAAAACTCGTTATGGCCTCGAAAAGCTCATTATTTTTTTTTTTAATTCAGAATTTCAGATCATATTTTTTTTTTTCGTTTTTTCAAGCGCGTAAACGAGTTTTACGATTGATCCGGATACTTTTACATAATGGAACAAGCAATTAAAAACTCCATATCGTAATATACATATATGGGCAAGCACACAAACATATATCACTGAGCCTGATACTCCCAATCAAATGAAATAATCATATTAAACGAATACTTTGAAAATGCAAGGGAAGAAAAAGAGATGACAAAACCAGATGGAAATCCCTTGTAAAATACTACTTTAAACTATTGATAGGAGCATCCTTGTAACGACAAAATATAAGTAGTTTCTTGCCCGTAAATGCCTCTCTTTAACTATTTATATCTCGATCTGTACTTTAAACTTGCAATACATTCAACCAAAAAAGCACCCAATTATATACATTTCAAGAAAAATAAAAACAAACATAGTGTATATACTGGTCATTATTAAGCTCGGTATGTTTTTTCTCTTAAAAATAAAAAACAGCGTTTTTTACACTTTGCAATAAAATAAGGTGCGGAAAATTCAAAAAGTAAAGGTACAAATCAAATTCTCTTAGGTTAAACTTTCATTATCTTACGCTTCTTATTCTTTTTCTTACTTTTAATACACACATTAATCGAAAAGTCGTACAAAGTTATTGAAAAAGAATTTGTGAAAAATGGAAAAAGTGTTGAGCTCACGCAGTACACTCGGAATATTCGGTCTTCTAATATTTTTATCTTTAAGCTATCAAACTTGTGGAGAGCAAAAAATTCCATTTTATGCTATTGTTTGAAAATACGAGAAGTAAGTAGAGGACCTTGAGCCAACACTGGAATTTTATTCGCGTCCTATCCTATGTATCATCTAAGGTCACGATATTTGTATGTTTTAGTTTACACACTATAAAAAAAAGAATATTTGCGATGACTTGTAATAGCTGCAACAAGTTCATACTATGCTTTCGTCATAGTATATTTTTTATTTCACGTATTATTAGTTGCATTGTGGCCTATTGATTGATTTTCAAGAATCTCGCATAAACCTGTATACCATAATGCTACAAGCATCCTCATAAAAGTTTATTTTTATTGCTGTCAACTAGTTGAAGATAAACATCCAATTGATATTTAGTTTATATATTCTTCTGTTTAAAAAGTAGAAATAAAAAATATGAGTTTTTTTGCTGAAAAATGCAAAAAAGTATTTGTTTAAATCTACATCTAGTACCGCAATTTACAGTAATACTAAGACTTGTCGAAAAATAACACGTATATACCCTAAAAACTAAGTGGAAAAACTGGTTTTCTCTCAAATCACTTTTAGGGAAGCCAAAATTTAAATCACGGAAAAGCAAAATTAGGACCCACCTTATTGTAATACATGATGAAAATAATAATAATATAAATGATAACTATGATAATAGTAATGATATTAATATACCTCGCAACTGACTAACTCTCGAGAGATATATTTGCGCCGTATTTGGCTAGCGACTAGGGTGAAAACAAGATGCCGACCGGTTCGATCAATAATACGATCGAGTCGAGTCAACGAATAATATCGAACCGATGCTTAATAGGAAAATCACTACAAGTCTGCGGCCTTGACCGAGTTGCTACTCCAAAACCTCATGATAAATTGGGCGATAAAGACAACTAGAACGACGATCAATGTGTCCGTCAGGTGTTTGGTTAAACGTCCGCCGCTGAGCCTGTCTCTTGCAGCTCTCTGACGTACCGAGGATTGCTCCAATAGACGCTGTATATTGTCCAGCTTCTCTGAGTGCTGATGAAGCCTTTCCTCCACATGCTTAACCATATTTGTTACTCTGAAATCGAACAAAACGTCAATGTAAATAATATTCCAGTAACTACTTCTTGTGACGCTTAAAAAAAAAAAAAAAAAAACAATAATGATAATAATAATTACCTAGCTATCGAACGTCGTCGTTTGCCAACTGACTGACTCGAGTCGGAGTGTGCCGCGTCGGAAGAACTAGCCGAGTCGTGCGCTGCTTCGGTGGATTCGGGATGATTGTTTGTGAGTTGGCGCTTTGAAGACTTCAGGACCGACAACGAGGAACGTGACTCGGCAAGTAACAATGGAACCTTTTCAAAAGTAATAAAGTTTAGCAGGTTGTTTTCATATCAAAGTAATAACGCGCGCAGTCGACTAATTTTATACCTGAGACTGTGGCTCCATAGAAACAATACTCCCGGTACGCATGATTGGTGTTTTGTGTCGCGTCTTTGTGCTAATGATGTAATCGTGCTCGTATTGCACAACATCATTTCTCGAATCCCATGGACGGATGTCGGCGTGACGGTATACCCAGTTGCCCGTTATAATGTCTTGAACAAAGTGCTTGGGTATCCACTCTTGGCCGAGGGCTTTCCTCTCTTTGGCTCGTTCGCGCTGCGCCTCCTCCAGCGCAGTTTTGGCTTCGGTCGCCATAGTTTGGTCATCGTTATTTATTGCTTTTGATACTTCTAGCCACAATTTTTCGCTCTCCCAGTCGCCCTGATTTTCCAGCGGCACAGTATACTTCTTCAATCGAGTCTTGCGAACATCGGGCGTTGGATTGAAGAAGACGCTCTCTTGCTGCAAACGTGAAAATGCCGTTGCTTCAGATTCAAAGAAATCATAAAACGTTTTCAAAAAGTCGAGAATACTCACGCCTGTTCGCTTATCTGTGATCATGATCTGACCATCCCAGTAACCACTAATATTGGCAAGAGTTTCTTTTCCGAGCTTTATTCTTCCCGATACCATGTTCAATTGATCCGCACCTCCGAGAAAAGGCTAAAATCGGAAAATAAACATTGAAATATCGTATTCAAAATGAGCAAATATACGACGACTTGTTTGTACTTTTAGTTTGAATTCGAGTTCACAATTGTAGCCGGTCTTTTCGCACACTATATTGATTTTTCCTCCAAGCTCCATGGACAAGGTTCCCATCAGAATACCCTTACAGTGTGCGTAGGGAATGGTCATTGTATAATCTTCGCCGCGCGGGAGCATAGTCAGCACAGCTGTCCCGTCAAGTATGGCGGACGTAGAATTGCCTAAAAAATACGCAATTTGATTATAACGAAGAAAACTACGTTTAGAGGCAATCAAGCGCGTTTACCGTAAAATTTAGATTTAGCGATAATGGATCCACTTATGGTAAAGCCATCCTGCCTATTGGTCACGTAAAAGCCGGAGATCGGCGGATGATGGGAGACCTGATGGAGAAAAAAAAAACAGCAGATTTTCAGCGTTACCTGCAAGCAGCACCGTGAATTTGATAAGCGTTGTAAAGAAACAACCCACCTGTTCGGCCAAATAGAAAGTGCGCGACCCATTGGGATGCTGCCAGTAGCACCGAAACGTTTCTCCCAGGAGCGAGTTGTAAGGTTTTTTCAGGCCCTGCGGTTTTTTGTAGAAACCCGACAAATACCACTTGATAACTGCCTTCATGCGCGTGAACGCATCATCTTCCAGAACTGCTCTGTAATTTCGACAAAAAAATAATTCCATTATTCCATTGCAAGGCTCATTCGTATGGAGTTATACGTATAGTAAGACGTGGCACTTACTGCGACAGGAGATCCACGTGGTAATAAGAGTCGGCGAGTTTTTCGAGAAAAGAACGTGGCTCGAGGATGAACGTCGGCAGGACGACCTTGGACAGATCCATGCCCGGGCGCACTTGCTTTATGAGGAACCAGATGAGGGACTTTTGCTCTTCTTGAAGCTCAGCGACGACCTCGCCGGCCTTTATTGTAAAAAAAAAAAAAAGAAAATTAATATTTTCACACTAACTCCACTTTGGACTAATATCGCATTGACACAGAGGTATAATGCAGTATAATTTCAGACGACGATACCGTATATTTATCTCAAAGAGATCGGTATCTTCGACGCGGGCGCGACATATCCCGCGTGTATCTAATCGCGATTTCGGCGTGCTCGGGCACCAAAATATTATGATAAAATAAAAAAAAAATATAGTCAAGTGCTGTGTCTACATTCAACGAAACAGCATGGTTAGGTTGAAAAAAAAAAAAAAAAAAAAATTAACAATTATCCACGCTTTGTCATCGTCGTCCAACAATAATAACACATACGATAGGTATAGACTGACCATGCCAAAGACCTCGTTCTCCTGGGCGACGTAGGGGGTCTCGTTGATGGGTTGCTGCAGCTCGGCGTCGTCGTCCTCCTTGTTGTGCTCCTCGTCGTCGGATTCGCTGTCCGTGGGACTGATCTCCGCGTCCGCGGCCATGCCGTTCTCGGCCGACTGGCTGACGGTGTCCTCGAGGTCTGCTCGTGCGCGGCGGCCGCGTCGGGACAGCAAGGGATCTAGCGTAACTACATGCTGCTGCTGGTGCTCAAGGTGCTCGGCGGCGGCATCGCCGACAGCAAGCTCGCGGCCACCGGTGCAGCCCAGCTCGGGCGAGCTCATGCGCCGCCGGCTTGCAATGCCGGGGGCGTCGAGCTTGCAGGACGAGGAGGAGCCAGCGGCCGCGAGCCTGGGGGGAGCATCGACGCTCGTGCTCGCCGGGAAGAAGGGGCTGGGGGACCGGGACCGGAACTGCTGCAGGGAGGTGCTCTCGCGGAGGGAGCGGTGCTGGCCGAGGAGCCGTTCCCAGTGGGTGACGACCTGGCAGAGCTGTTGGATGTAGGGAGTCGGTGGCTCGAGGGATCGGGACGGCGAGGGGCAGAGGCTACGCAGTTTGGACCTTATGGCGGGAGTGAGGGTGGCCAATGTGGGAGTTGTCGGGGCCGAGTACTCGGGGGGATCGGGACAGGAGTGTAGCCGGCGCTTGTGGTGGTCGTGGGTGATGGAGGGGCTTGCGTGGTGGATGTTTAGGAGGATCGAGGGTGGCTCGAGCAGGGAGGACGAGGCGGGCCGGCGCGGCCGGCGTTCCTGCAGCAGCAGCGGCGACGGCGAGCCTCCTGGTGTATTGTATATGTACCCGGCGGGACACGTTTTTGTTGTTGTTAACATGCACAACAACACTCAGGCATCATCGTAACCCCTCCCTTACCGATTTTTTTTTTTGTTTTTCTCCCCTTTTATCATTCGTTGTATGTCGCACTGATATTGCGATTTCCAAGTGTTGGTTCTTTTTCTCTCCCGTGTCTGTGTTGACGAAAAGTTTACAAAAAAATTTAACTCTCGATCAATCGGCTGGTTTCGCCGAGTATCGCACGTTCCAGAGACGTGCAATTAAATCAAACTTTTTGCTCCGCAGAATAAGAATTACCAAGATCGAAGAAAAAAAAATGTTGTTACGTGACGCAGTTGAATGAGTACACACATTTATCGGTGCGCTGCTTAGCAACGATGCGTTGAAATCGACTACCTGTCATGTTAATGGTATAAACGAACAAACTTTAATTTTCTAAAAAGTTTGTTACAAAGAAAAGCCACTTTATTTTCATAAAAACTCTAATCATCCAACGTAATAAAGTAATGGATGTTTCAAACGAAGCGTACTCAAGTGGTGGAACGTAAATAGACCATTTTCCTTTTTTTTCGTAAATATGTATGCAGTGGAGGGTAAAAAAGATTCTTTAAAAACTTGGATACACACACGATGAGCACGAAAAGCGTACTTTGGTATTTTTTATGCTCGTTTATAACAGTTTGGAAATTATTCATGCACCAAGCCGAATGACAAGAGAAACTTTTCAAAGTAAATCGTGCTTGTTAGGGAAACACGAAAAATCACACAGACACGCGAGATACCATTATCAACTGATGAGAATTAAAAAACTTGTCCATACCATGTCCTTCAAAGTGCTTCTCGTAATCGGCTTCGCTCCACTGCGTCTCGTGAGTCGTTAGCGTTGAATCGTGCTGCGGCGATCTAGGTATTACACTCGTTGACCTGACTATCAGTGACGAGCAGCGTAGCGACAGCTCTAGAGCATCCAGCCAGCACTTGCCCGCCGCTTGGGACGGAGCTCGGAAAATCAGGTATGACGTTGGTAGCGGTTGGACGACGGCGCCTTCAGGGAAGATATCGTTAGTGATCATTTTTTCGCTATGGATTTGAAGTTGATGGTGGAAATGTTTGGCGTCTTACCAATGGCTTCTTTTTCCGGGCCACGAGGCAACCAGATTGATTGTTCAAGCGGATGGAACAGCTTAAAGCAGAAACCATCTTTTTTACTTGGACGCTCGATAACTTGGCAAGTGTTCAGCAAAACGGTGCCCACCCAATGATTGCTCTGAAAAAAAGCATCAAAGTTCAGTTTACACGAGTTGATTTACCATCGCGTCTGTATTAATAGATCAAAGGGCGGATATTTACTTTAATCTTGGGGCTTTTGTAGAGCAAAAGCAGTCCTGGTTTTAAAATACACCACAATTTGGTCCAGCTCTTGAGTGTCCCTCTGACTTTCAACCAGTCGCTCATGACGACCACCGTGGGATCCTTGAGCGAACTGAGAAGTTCCTCGGCAACGCGCTTCTTCTCCATCCTGTAATTTTTTCGTTGTGCTTTGTAAGACTCCTTCCTTGTCAATTTGCATCCTGATTCGTTCATTTTTTCCGATGCGTCAGCTTTAGGACTGCTTTCCCCGGTCGTAGGAAAAACACCACCCAATCCTAAAAGACAAAAAAAAATGAAAAATAAAAGATAATCAAAATTATTTACATCAATGGCTATTTTCAGAATTGTTGCTCTCTATAGAATATATGTATTTCTCACTGAAAAGCCTATTCATGTTTGCGCAAGGCTTACGTTCAAGAAACACGTATGCGCGTAATAGCGGCATGTTTAATCAAACGAGTTAGTGTTTTACGTAATTATCTTATCAGCCCAAGCTTTGTCCCGGTATCCTGCTCGCGCATAAGACTTTCCGGCGCTTGGATTAGTATATCGTTATCAATTTACCTGGCGACAGAGGTGGTGCTGGCGAGTCGGCCCACGTACTACTGTTGGCCATGAGCGACTCCTTGGAAATAGGCTTAATCAGTACAGGCTGCACTTGACTGCTGCCGCGTCGGATCAGTTTCTCCTCCAACACTGAGCAAAGAGCAGGAAACACAAAAAAAAACAGTGGCAATAAAAAAAATCTCTCGAGCGACTGCACGCAAAAAAGGTAATAAGAAAAAAATAAAAAGAACAGATTAACGTACCAGCCGAGGATCGACCGGTCCCTGGTGGAGTCATGGTCTTGAGCACATCTCCAGCGAGGCTTCCAACATTGGGTGGATGGGACATGGACTGCGTCCTCCTGCTGCTGCTGTGCTCCCCCGATGGTGGCACAGTAATCGGCTGGGAATCCATGTCAGTGATTACAGTACGAACGAAATGTCAAACACAGCGTTTTTTTTTTTTTTTTTTTATTATCAAGCAACAGCCAAGCGGCAAAAGCAACAGCCTCGACCGAACGGTCAAAGTAAATCAGTTCTCGCGTGTCGCAAAGATAAAGAAAAACTCGACGACGTGTGCAGGAGAAAAACGCTCATCCTCCCGCTTCTCTGCAGCTCCAAATCTCCTAATGCATGTTAGAAGAGAGGCGTCGATCGTTATTGTTTTTCTCTCGCACGTTACGTCCGCTACGCGACGGCGAGACCCAGAAGCAACGGCGGCAGTTCAAGCGATGATGCAGCGGTGTAATAAGTGTGATTAGTTGCCGCAGTCCGATGAGTTGCAAGAAAGCGGCAGCCGGGACGGAACATCGCTGATGCTTCTATGTATATACTATATATCCTACTACTGTACGTCACATGGGTATACGGAATACGGGCATAAAAGTACCTGCAACATCACACATGATGAATGTTATAGAGAGGCTTGCGCAGTGAAGAAAAAAATAAACCAGTTTTTTTGATAATCGTAGAGCTTGATGTGTAAAAACAGCTACATGTTTCGATCACTCGCGAAGAGAGCTTGCAAAAAAACACAGCTTTCATTTTTACAGGGTATATATTACACATAGGGAAAAGATAAGATAAGAGGGAGTGCATTATAGAATAGGTATAGCCGACAAGATGAATATACCGAGTTGTTGTTGTTGAACCGAAACATACACACACTAACATGTATGACTGACACACTTATCACTATCACATGCTTTAGAGAATATATACAAGTATAAGAGTAGACTAATTGCTTACTGCAGAAGAACAGAGAGTAGGTTGTTATAGTGGCAGCCTCTTTTTTTCTTTTTTTTTTTTTTCTCAACACGACTACGTGCTTGAGGAGTAAAAATTCTCTGAGAGTTTCTATTTCTATTACTTGCACGTTTGGTGTTAACTCTGTGAGTTTATTTATTTACTTGTTTTGCCTTTTCGTTTTTAGAACCAATGGAAATAACGAAAAAATATATATTTGTCTGTGCGCGCAAAATGAGAGAATAGAGAGATAGAAGAACAACAATTATATATAGACTGACGTGTGCGTGTATGTATACATGCAAGGGGGTGGTTCGGGGGGTTGTTATGTTTTGTATCTGGCCTGCAGGTGTGTGCTGCTGACAAATTTAATTTAGGTTATGCACGCGAGCGGAGATTTAATGCTGGTACAGGCTTCTTTTCTTCTCCATTGCATGTTGAATTAGTCGCTGCTTCGAGCACGATAGTTAGGAAAGATAGACACTGCACACATTCAACGTGTGTATATGCCTTTTTTTCTCTACATATATTATTATTTAGCTAATTAAAATTATATGGAAGTACGTTACCCGTTGATACGTATATATACACGTAAGCAAAGATAAAAAACAACACGTTGTATAGGTGATGTAAACACTTGTGACTGAGTCGACTTTACATTTACACAACACTTTTTTTTCATGCAGATTCAGAAATATAAACCATATCATCAGACACTGATGCACCACCAGCAGCAGCAGCAGAAGAACTGCACAAAAAAGTGTGTGGTCTTCTGCTCTTCTTCGGCCCTCTGATGACGTGTTTTTTTTTTTTTTTCCCGATAGACCATCAAGAGCTGGGGTACATGTTGGGCAAAAAATTAATACCTGCCGCCACCAGGTTTAAGGGAAAGAAAATAAAAAGTTGTTTACATCGCAGTGACATTGGCGGCAGAATTGGGACTCATCTTCTACCCGAAAATCGACTTATAAGTAAATGGACCTCCCACAAAATATAAATTACTTTGCCAAACGTATTTTCAAGATGGATAATTTATATCCAGAACTACAGTGGCGGTAATTTTGGGATTGAATAAGAAGGGGAATTGGGGCCAATTTCGTCCGCATTATGAGAATAAAAGTATACCTATTATTAATTTATAAGGTGTATATATTGCATGTTAACTTGAAAGTCGATTTTCGGGTTGTAAATGAGTTCCAATTCTGCTGCCAATGTCACTTCCTCGAAAACAACTATTTATTTCGTATCCATTAAGCCTGGTGGCGGCAGGTATTCTTTTTTTGCCTTATATATGTACCCCAGCTCTTGGTCCATCATGCATAAAAAAGAAAATAAGTGAAGCATTACAATATTACATATTTGGAGAGTGGAGACTATAGGCAGATATGGTAGCAGCATCATCTGTGACGTAAGTCGTCCCGTCATCGGGTCGAGGATCCGAGTGATTTCCGGGATTTCAACCAACGTAGATGGTGAAAAGGGAGCAATCGACGGAGGGAAGATATTTTTAAAGGAATATCAAATAAAAGATAATGTAATCAGATGTGACCCAAAAAATGGTTCAAGTGTATGTTTCAGATTTCTAAGTAAGCTCATAGATGATTGTTTTTTCATTTTTATGAAATTTTGTGCCTGAATTTTTATGAAAAAAAAAAAAAAAAAAAAAGAAGAAAATCCTCGAGTGCCCTAGATTCTTTCGAACGGGGTGGACGAATATTCGATGTATAATGTAGTGACGCAACGCGGCTGATGGAAACGTATACCCGAACGCAAAAAAAAGAAAAAAAAAAAAAAAAAAGGAACGCGAGAAATAGCATTAAAGCAGCGCGAAACGTTTGTTCCATTTAGCTTCTCGTCGTTTTTAGCTCACCATTGTTTACGATCCTTTAGATTCGCCACCGCACTCGTTCGGTTGATTGCTGCTTAAGCCGGTTTCTTTCGGAATTTCGTCTTAT